GAGGAGGAGGAGAGAAGAAGACGAAAGGAGAAGGAGGAGGAGGAGGAGAAGAAGGAAGGAGGAGGAGGAGAGGAGAAGAAGACGAAAGGAGGAGGAGGAGGAGGAGGAGGAGGAGGAGAGGAAGAAGGCGAAGAAGAGGAAGGAAGGAGGTGGACGCGGATTCACCACGATGGCGTTCGAACGTGGTGTCCTAGGCAACCAGGGGGGGGGGGACGAGGTCGTTGTTGGCGGCTGATCACAACGTAGTCCGAAAACACGAGGAACTTACAAAGGCCTTCCCGCCGCCTGACCTTCCTCCGAAAATGGAAATGTGAAGTTTCGAAGTGCTCCTGGGGGCCGGGGAGGCTGCCACTGGCCGAAAAAGGCCTCCCCCCCGCCGCACGTGAAATTGCGCTGGGCCCACCTGGCACCAAACCGGGGGACCTAACCGGCCGGGCCGCCCGGGACCCCTGCCGGACGAAGGCTGAGCCGCCGGGCGGCCCGTATTTTAACGCAGAAAGAAACTATGTTATGCAGAAAAATAAAATGAACTTTTCCCTCAGGGTCACATCGACATTCCTCACCAAATTTAGAATAATTTGTAATTTTTATTATTATTATTATTATTATTATTATTTTTTTTTTTTTTTTTTTTTTTTTTTTTTTTGGCCCGACCGGGCAAATGACCCCGGGCCATTCTGGTTGCCTAGGAAAAAAGATAAAAAGCTATGGAAAGGAATGTTACTCGATTTATGTGTCATCCATGTACAGGTGCCATTTGCTAATCTACCCTTCTCTGTATCGTTCCAATTTTAACGGATGTCCCGAAAGGAATGTTAGTTATCCAGCAAAAGTGTTTTCCTTAATATTCAGTCTGTTTAACTATTTAGAGAATTTTAGGCACATCGTGTAAACACTGTAAAGGTTATTGTCTTTATCGTTGTTGGCTCCATGCTTCAGGGAGGCCCCACTGCTGCTATGGTTATGCTTGGAGCGACCTGGCCGTAAAAGTAGCCTGCTTTGTGGTGTTTTCATATCTATCTACTTCTGCTATCTGTGCAGATTGCCAGCGTCTATGCGGGTCTCTCTACGGCCGCATTATTGTGCATTCTGCCACTTTTAATTGGCAAAATGACTCAGTACCATCATCGATGTGTCCTCCCTTTATCCTTCTCACTATGCTGACTTTGCGTGCAGATTGGTGGCGTCAACACGATACTCCACAGAGAGCACAATCGTGAGCTGCCATGCATCTCTACTCGCCCGACGATGATGATTGGCATCAATCTCTCCCATCCAAGTGCAGGAGATTCAACGTCACCGTCAATTGCTGCTGTACGTGATCTTCAACCCTTGTGCATCATGCCGGCAGGCTCCAGCTTCATGAAATGCGCTTGTGCCATAGGGTTCTCTTTTCAATACTCGTTGCTTGCATTCTTTTTTTTTCCTTCTTTTTTTTAAAGAAAGGGCGACGACCTTAAAATATAATTGAACTGACCGCCCCCAGGTAACTCACGATTCTGTTTTTCTCTTCATATGGACTCGAACTCGGGTCTGTATTCAACAGCTCATGGGTGTATCAGCGGGGCTAGGCCCGCTGTTATGTTGCTTTCTTTCTTGCTATTTTATCAGATGCAAAGCACGGTGCTCAATATATTTATCCGATGCAAATATGAGGAGAAGCTGGCAAGTTGAGGTACATCTATTGGAATCAAGATACGATGTTGAATACATCTATAAGAAGCGAAAAATCGCATCTATCCTAGGCTACCAGCGTGACCCAGAACCACTTGCCTGACCAGGCCCAAAAAGAAAAAAAGAAAAGAAAAGAAATCTTAGAAAAAACTTCAAAAAAAGTTCAGAAGACTGACAAAAACTTCTTAATTTAATTTTAATTTTTAATTTGGTGCGAGGAATGAGCCCTCGCAAGGCCCTTATCACACATACAAGTGTTCTGGGCTGTGGCCCCCAGCAAGCCTTGTGCCCGCCCTAAGTGAAGGCGGGCCTGAATATCCACAAGAGGCCTATTTCGACATATTTCCATACGTGGGTATTAGACAGTTGCAGCTCGCCACTTGGTAACAAAGCAATTTCTGCCTCTCCTGGCTCTGGCCAGCAGCAACAGCTGAGCTTCACAGTTGTCTCGATTGGTTGATCCCTGGGCACACACACACTGGGAGGCCGGCACATCACTCAGTGGCCGCGAACGAATGAGAATGCAGCGTCGTCATCACACAACCGTGACGAGCCAACGAGTAGGCGGCCTGCACTTGGAGCCTGGACGTGCCCAACTGTAAAGGGGCCTAGACCCGTAACTGTAGTAGTGGGCCTGGGCGCAGACACTGGGGCCCGACTGGAAGCTACTGGAAACTTCTTCAGCCAGGCCAACGCAGGCACACGGGGGCTGCACTGCACTCTGCATAAAGGAAAGAGGCCAGCTCAGGAAGGGGCATTCGGGCCTTGGCAGGCAATGTTGACATGCTGCTGCGTTGCTGCGCTAGTGATCTGCATGGGCGCTGCGGGTCGGACGCGCGTATGGGTGCTGAGGTGAGAGGGGCGCTGCGAGGCAGCGAGCGCACAGCAGCCATAGCCGTGCTGCAGGAGCGCAATGCAGGTGATGGCGATTGTGGTCTTCGGGTAGGAGGCGCATGAGGAGGTGATCAAGGGGTGATGAGGGGAGGAGAGAGAACGTACCTGGTGTATGCTGGTGGTCTGCATTGGTGTTGATGCCACGTACATCGGTCTTCGACTTCGGTGTGATTCAGTCGCTTGAACGTCGATAGGCTAGATAGGCCGAGTAAAGTAGGCTGGGCGCTGAGCGCCAGACAGTAGGAGCGACATTGGATACAGTGTTGATGTGACCAGCAGTGTCGGCATTGGAACTTGCTCTTATGTCGATGGAATCTTGGTGCAGTGTGCTCTCTGCTTGGTATACGACTATCTGGACTGTTTCGTGATTTTGCAACTTGGTTTTCTGTCTATCGCTCTCGCTCATAGTCCTTGCATTGGTAAAGAATTTCGACGTGACCTTCGGGCAAAAGTTGTTCAGTTTATTCACCTTTATTTTTCTGCATAGCATAGTTTTCTTTTGGATTTTTTCGATTTTTGGTTTTGGTGTTCTGAAGGGACCTTCCTAGAATCTTGCCCAAGCTCACCTGGATGGCCCGGTTGGAAGCCCAGTATCTATCTGGTCCTCCAGACGTTTCCCTGCCGATGATCTTTTAAGAGTGGCTATGGATTTCTTCCCTTCTTTTTTTTTTTTTGGGTAAAGCCCCATTATAGTGAAAAAACGATTTCTCGAATTGTCTTCCCTTCTTATTTCCAGGCAAACTATGGTCTCATCGCCTCAGGAATATCAAACAACTTTTTTGTTTTTTTTTAATAACAAAAACAAGCTTCATCAACCTCAGGAACACCATAATTGTTTTACCCTGAACTGTCTGAAGTTCTGAACAGCATTGATTCCTTCTTTTTTTTTCTTTTTTTCTTTTTTTTCTCTTCTTTGGAAAGCAGGATTAACCAATCAGATGCACCTCGTTTCCTTCATAGATCCCTCTCAACCCACACGAACATTGCTTACACCCGCACTAACATGGGCTGTCAAGAGCATGAAAACTAGACTCTTGTAGCATCCCAGGTTGAGCAAGTCTCCAATAGCTTTTCCCCTTTGATGCTGTGAACCGCACAGTTCATCACCAATGAGTGCACACATATACATGCTTCATACACAAGTGGGAAGACACAAATTTACACACTGTATGCCAGAAAGTAGAAAATCAGGTAGAGCAGCTTATAAACTTCCAACAAGTTACCACAAGAACAAGAAGAGTTCAAGTCACCAGTGCTCACCAGCGCATACAAAGGCAACCAATAACCAGCAACAACTCTCAGGTAAGTAACTCTTTCCAGCCCCTCTTCTCTCTCACTGGTCCTCTCTCTAGCGATGTCCTCACTGTGTCTTCTCTCCCTACATACATGCACACTCACTACTACTACTCAAGGATCTTCTCTGGATACATCCACTGCTATGGCTACTAACTGCCACTAGCTAGTACTAACACTCTGCACTGGCGCAGCTATGGCTGCCTTCTCCCTGCCAGCGCTAACTCTCCCTCCCTCCCTCCCTCTCTCTCTCTCTCTCTCTCTCTCTCTCTCTCTCTCT